CGTTTATTATAAAGTTTTATTTTTCGTGATTCCTTATCTTCCCATCGAATATATGTATGAGATCATACCTGTATATGAGAATCCTTAGGAACCTATAAGAGAGCTTAGCTGGATTATACATAAATGGTTCGCATCTCTCTTCAGAGTGTTTCTCCTGGTCAGAACAGATAAGTAAAATTTTGTTTTTAACTAAGCGGACAAAATAAAATAAATTACCAGCCAAACCTTGACTAAACCTATTTACCACAAATATTATTTTGGCGATGGGATTTTATAGAAGATTCCAAGTATTTCACACTTACAAGACAGACTCACCGTTTTCCTTGCAACTCGGGCAATTTGCCTTCCATAATAGCAGCCAAAGTTACCGCTCCCGCTCCCTCAACGACGCACTTCTCGGTCTCTAGCAAAGCTAGAATCGCCTTGGCAATATAGCCTTCATTGACGCTCACCATCTTGTCGATCATGTCGAGGCAAGTATACAGGCTATTTGTACCAACCATCGAGACGGCCAAACCTTATTACACAAAATTTGCCAATATGACGGAAGGATAAAGAGATCACAATGCAAAATAATGCAGTAAAATAGGTTTATATCATTAGTTGTAAGGCCAAATATGCAAGTGACTGGATAAATAAATAGCGACAAGTTTAGATGAACACGTATGAGCTGCAATATTGGTTAATATGGTTAATTATATATATATGTCATGGAAGTTACGACGGCCGCTTAGATGGTGCCAGCACGCTTCTAGAAATAGCTAAAATTGACTGAATTAATGTCCTAGACTCTTGTTAATGAATTTCCTAGCCAGTTTAGGTAATCAAGGGCAGTTTAAAGCGAGTTTAAGCCCTCTATTAAAACTAACTTATGAACCAAAGCAAATAAAATAGGGCCGATGCGCTGTATTTCTTAAGCAGGTAGGCTAATTCATTAGAGATAGGAGTGGTGTTGAGGTTCAATTCCAATAATATGAAGTTTCAGTTCTTTGGTTGTGCATTGATTCATCAGTAAAAGAAATGCCGTATAATTAAAAGCAGCGTGGAAAAATGACTCATGCTAATTGATCTATGCATTTATGCACAAACCAAAGGATGATTGTATGAAAATGAGTTAGTTTTTGTAAAAAACTATAGCAGATAGTGGAATGAAGACCAAGATGGTGTGGCCTTTATAACATAATATAACACTACAACAGATAGTTACTTGGTTCAAAGCTGTTTAAGTTATTTCCAACTGAAGAGTATAAAGCGCAAATTGCTTAAGAGCAAATGTGGACAGACGCAAATCAGATATATAAATCAAGAATAAAGAAAATATATGTTCATTGTCAGACAAGGTTCGAAGGCTATGCTGCCTCTCTCAAATGGACATAAGGTATCGGAAGTCATAGGTCGGCAAGGATGGAGTGTAAGTCTGTTTCCGTGTTATCAATGATCTGGTGAATGCATCACAATGGTGAGATTCAATCCCCTATTGCCAAGTAAAAATGAATAAATGGAAAAGTGAAAGCCTTGAGATTTTAGGTTGGTGAGAAGGATGTTTATTGGAGAGCCCTTTTATGGAAGTCCCTAGTAAGACTGGGCATCATTAATTGAAAGTACATATTTTGGGGTTTCTTTTTATAATTTAATAGATACTGTTAGTGTCGTTCGTTGATGTTCGGTCCCTTATGGACGTATCTACGAGAATATTAGTCTTAACATAGAGACGAATGAATCTGACAAGGCCAAAGAACGATTTAAAATTGGGTCAAAGGATTAAGTCTAACGAAGTTCCTTTATTGTATGACCTTACAATGCTTCCCATGTCTCATGAAATGGGAACTATCCTGGAGGTTAGATCCAGAAGTTTGTTTCCTTTCTAAGTCAGTTCTGTGAAGCTAATCCACTTTTTACCTCAAAAAGTGAAACCCCTCCTCACAAAAGGTACTTTAAAATTGGTAATATCAATCCAGGAGCTATTGTCACTAAAATAATGGAT